CATTACCCCTTGTCCTACCACTAGAGTCCCTAATGAAGAGTCCCTCTTCTGATAAAAACAGTAATGCCAGTTTTTAGGCTCTAATTCTTCAGTTTCATGATCTCCCTAAAATGGTAATTTTATTTCAGTGGATTTTCCCATCTCCCCTGTTTTCCAGTTATTCTGTCATTGCTGAATTAGTTGATGATAATTTTGAAGGCTCTCTTCGCAGACCGCTCAGCTGGAAGACCTTGTCTGGGTTGAACAGAACAACTGTTAATGCTTCTAAGGTAAGCACAAGATGCTAGTTTTAAACTAGCTTTAGAATGATATAAGTTGAGTTTAGTTCCAAAGACCAGAGAGTTGGAGTGGGGCTGAACAGAGAAGCCTTCTGTTTCCAGTCTGCTGGAGAGCATGTGGAGTTGCCAGTAGGCAAACAGGCTTCCTTTTGACAATATCCAGATGAGTTCTGGAGGAAGCTTATTAAAGTTCTGTCATCTGCAGGAAAGTTAAAAGCTGTGTCGGGAACAGGAGAAAGACCAAGGGGCATTTCTTTCCTGTTAGCCACTTAAGTTTTTAAAGCCTTCTGTGTCTCTAAGGACTTTCTTTTGAACAGTGAAGCTGAAAGTCTCCAAAAGATTTTCTCTGTGATAGAACCTCAAGCATAGTGCTTCCATACTCATAACCATGGTGCTCAGGTGTTCTAATTCTAGTTTATGCTTTGCTAAGGAAAAGGAGATATGATTATACAGATCTTGCAGAAGACATCTTATAGGAAACTTAGAATCTGCATTTCTAATTAACCTAAAACTTCACAGAATCCCAGGCTGGTTTGGGTTGGAAGGGCCCTCCAGTTCCAACCCCCGGCCACGGGCAGGGACACCTTCCACTAGAGCAGATTGCTCCAAGCCCCTGTGTCCAACCTGGCCTTGAACACTGCCAGGGCTGGGGCAGCCACAGCTTCTCTGGGCACCCTGTGCCAGCGCCTCAGCACCCTCACAGGGAAGAGCTTCTGCCTCAGAGCTCATTTCAATCTCCCCTCTGGCAGGTTAGAGCCATTCCCCTTGGCCTGTCCCTACAGGCCCTTGTCCAAAGCCCCTCTCCAGGTTTCTTGTAGCCCCTTTAGGCACTGGACCTGCTCTAAGGTCTCCCCCAAGCCCAGCTCTCAGCATGTGGAAACTTGTGTAGGAAGAAATCAGTTGAAAATCATGTATTCATGTTTTCTGTTTACCAACAGGAACTTATGTTATGCTATTTGATTAAACCTTCTGATATGACTGAAAAAGACATGTCAACACCAGAATGTATGAAGAGAATTAAGGTTCAGGTGAGCAATTTCTTCTTCTTCTTTGGCTGTGTAGCTTTGCCGGGGGGCAGCTGGACAGCCAACTATATGAGCCCCCTGGAACTGTTGCTTGCTTTTTAGCAAGCTTTGGTTTTTGCACACATAGCTGCAGTGAAATAACGAAATTGCTTTGTGCCCCAAGGCATGAGAAGTGCCTTGCGGGCTTTTAAAAGGCTGGAGATGATCTCATCTAAATTTGAATGTTACTGTTCCTGTGAATGTAAGGATTTGCATGGAGATACAGGGGTATTTTTGGAGAGACTGAAGTTCATGTTGAAAAATGTGTGAGAGACCAGCTCACTTCAGAAACAAATCAGTCATCTACTGAAGTTTCTTGGTGCTCACATAATACAAGTTTGCTGAAGGCTCCATCCCCATCCCTCACTGAATAGCTGCAGCTTTTTTCTTGTCTTTTCCCCCCATAATAACTGCTGGGTTTTATTTCAGGAACTGATTGTAACTCGTTGGGTTTCTTCCCGTGAGCGCAGTGAGAAAGATGAATTTTAACTGACAGGACAGGAAAAACTTCTTTTCTTGAAGCCACTTCTTGTGGATTTTTTTTTTTTTTACCTGATCTTCTCACGATGAACCATTGCCTCAGAAGAGTTTCTGTGAGCAGCCAGTTGGTAGGTATAAATGCTATTTAAAATGAGCTCTATCCTGTTTACTGGAGAGAATGTTGTATGGAATAACCTAACTGAACATATGAAGGGGAAGATATTAAAGCTGTGTCCCAACCCAAACTACATATTTGTTTCCTTAAAACTTCTAGAGTGTATGTTTGAGTGCTGGCTACGCTGCAGTAAGTAGTAGTGGTATTTGAAATACTGACAGATGTAGCCATTAATGCTGAAGAGGCACTACAGCCTGCAGAGCCACTGAAGTCCAAAATCCATGTCTGCCTGAAAGCCTAAGCCATGAGGGATCAAACAGTTTTCTGGGAATACCTCACAGATTCTTCTGAGTTCAACTTGTAAGGCTGTCTTCATTTTGCTGCTCAGCACAGGGTCCTGCATGTCTTCAGAAATGAGGACTTCAACTTGAGTCTTCAAGTTTAGTGCTGGTTTTTAATTAGTAATTACAGTGAGCCACATACCGTTTTGGGATACCTCTGGTCCTTCTCCAACCAGAACCTGATTTCACAGCCTTGAAGAAGTTGCATAGACTTAGATGTGGGGAGAGGCATGGTTGTCGCAGTAGCGAACATTGCAACATGTTGCTCGTAGATGCCTCGATGCTGGGATTTAGTGTCTTATTTTCACAGGCACTACTCAGAATTGGGGAGCTCTTCCCAGAATGTGCAAGGATTTCAGTTAATTCTGGGGCAAAAGTTAGGTGTTAGGCACCTCTCCCCGTGTGGTAAGATGTTTTTCTCCCCTTGGGATTTGCAGGGTAAGATTCCTCCATGAAGGTAAGGGCCTAACCTTGCCCATGACAGCAAGATGCCGCAGTCACAAGTTGATGCCCTTTTCTTTTAATACTATGCAGAAAACAACGCAGGTTTGCAGAGTGAGTGAGAGGAGGTCAGTCTCTCTAGCTTGGCAATGTCATCACTGCTTTTTTCTCTTTTATCCAGCAGCTGCAGCAGTCTGTACATCTCTTTCCACAGTGCGCTCGTAGCTCTTTGTGCCCTGGCCTACCATTTGTTGTAGAACATCCTGGGAGGCACTGCTGTGTTTTGTACCAAGTGAGGCACAGGATAGTCCTGAGATCTTCTCTACTTTTTTTGTAAGATTTAAATCATCTGCAGTGCAGGTTCCTAAATATGATACTTACTATTGCTAAGCTGCATGTGGAAAACAAACCAACCTGCCCACCCAGCAGGTATTCAGCTGTCTTTCAAGAAGAGCCAGGAAGCTGTAAGCATCAACTACACTGCATTGTAAGTATTGCTACTTTAGATTCAGGCATTTCAATTCCATCTTGGCTTCCTTGCTTCACTATGCTGTTAGGATGTTTACTGCACGTACATACACACTCTGTTGTGAGAGAACACATTTGCTACAGCAGTAAGGGTAAGTTAGAGCTGCTCTGAGAGTGATAACAGTTTGAGTTCTGTGCTATTTTCATTCACTATGGAAGGGGGGTTGCCTCCTGGGCACAGGAAACTTTCCAGGGATGGTGAAAATTCTGTCAACTCAGGCTGTTTCTACCAAACCCAAACCACAATCTCATTTAGGCAGTTTAAATTGTAAAGCCATGTTGTGAATGCAGGAAACTGTGTACCTCTCAAAGGGGAGGATCTTCTAGCCTCTGCTTTCATTTAATGCTTTGACTAGAAGGATGTAAAGTGAAGATGATAATTGCATAATAGCTTCTTCAAGCTGAACAGGTATGTATGTGTTGACTGTGTATGGCAAGGTGTTTTTATTTCTAGCTACAGATGATGGTACTTCATGTTTCAGTTCTGTTCTGTCAAGTACCTTACGTTAATAGTTGCACCATAGCAACATTGTGTTGATATTTTGCCAGTTAAATGCAGTACTTCAATGAGGTGGGGATTCTGAGTCACTCAGAAATAGCACACCGTGGTTATTTCTGTAAGGCACATCCTAGCTGAAGAACTCTGACTTGCTCATGGAGTAGGTGGATGGGAGGTCTCTAACAGACCTCGGGCTCGTTGTCTCTCTAGTGTTGTGCTTTTTAAATACACTTTTAAAGGAGCAAAGTGAAACAAAGTGGAATTGCACAACCTCCCGTATGAAGACAGGCAAAGAAAGTTGGGGCTGCCTGGAGAAGGGAAGGATGTGTGGTAAATGCCCCATCCCTGGCAGTGTTCGGGGCCAGGTTGGACACAGGGGCTTGGAGCAACCTGCTCTAGTGGAAGGTGTGCCTGCCCGTGGCAGGGGGTTGGAACTGGATGAGCTTTAAGGTCCCTTCAACCCAAACCACTCTGTGATTCTGTGATTATGGACTGCACAATTCTGACCTCAGCATCCACTTGTGTGAAATGTACAATAGGTGAAAGTGCTGCTGGAGGATCTTTAATTTCTTTAACTTAAATTTCTTCTTGTTAAGTTGCACAGTTTTAACTCCTGAGGAGTCTGTTGCTTATCACAGATACAGGCACTAAATTATCTTTTATACTAAGCATCTGTCTTGGTTTGAGGAATAAATGTACAAAATGTAAAGAATTGGAAGAGAAATGTATCTGGCAAAGAGGGTGGATTTAGTTGTTATATTTATTAGTAATTAAAGGAAAATAACTTTGCAGGTAGTGAATCTGCATTAAATCATGGGCTTTGGATTCCAGCAGCACGCAAGCACTAATTCCCTTGTTTTCACTCGCCAGGAAGCAAATGTGACAGGAAAAACCCAACATTTTGGTCTGCTACATCTTAAATTACCAGAGTTCATTTGTCAAACCCCTTGATTACACAGCAGTTGTGATTTCTGGTATTTAGTGTCTTGGCAGAAGAGAGCATACAGTGAATGCAAACAGGAAGATGGTTTTCCATATGGATAGTTCCTACAGGAATGTTGTGCAGTGTGTACATTGTGTGTGTGTGCATTATTTCATTCAAATGCACCAGTTGTTTCCCAGTCCTTCTATGATGTGCAGCTTAACATGTAAACACATTTAGTACATCACCCATCTTAAACCCCGAGTTCTGGAGTTTTAGGACTTCCTCTCCTATTGCGTGTTGTAATGTTTGAGTACAGCAGCAGGTCATTTTCAGCCCTGATTTTCCTGCTTGGGAAGGGGTACGATGTAGAACTCCTTATCTGTCAGCTCCTGATGCAGAGTGATGTATTTGGAAGCTCTCTTTGTGTGGGGGATCACGAATTTCTCTGTGAATTCGCTCTTGCTCATTTGCCGCTTCCCAAGCGTGGTCAGGATGCTGTTAACGAATGCCAGTGCGTATGTGTAGCAGTTGTGGGCATCTTCATCATACCTAGGGAAAAAAACTCCGTAGTAACTTAGCACTATCCGTGAATTCCTGCCCGTGGAAGAATGTGTTACTGAGTGAAATAAGGAAGCACATGCTCCTCCAAAACCTCTGCCACTTTCCTTTAATGCAGGTGCTTACATTCTGTTCATTGCAAGTTGTAGTTTGTACTTTCCAGCCAGGGATACTAGAAACATAACTCGAAGCATAAAAAAACCTAACAGAGAGAGCTGCAGACTTACAGTAATGAGTGATTTTTTTATATATATATACTTATTTGGCTGTTACCTTGTTAACCTTTGCTCTCCCACGTATTGTTACTGTTACCTTGAATATGTCTTCCTGCAGCAGTCACGTTAATTGTGTGCCACCACATGCACCTCCTTTAGCATGGTGCTAACTTGGAAGCTTGCTCAAAATCAAGTCAATTCTATCACTAATATGTGGATACAGTTGCTATACAGTGTGCCAGTTACACAGGGACAGAAATACTAACCCAGTAGGAGGAGCAGCCAGTTAGAATGTTCTTGCCTTGTTCTCTTTTCCCCCTGCTACCCTAACCCTGGAGCATATACCATCCAGTAAATGAAAAGCAGTCCAGAACATTAGAATTAGGCTTGGCCTGAACCCAAAGGAATTACAGGATTAGTTTAGTGTGGTTCCTGTGCATTGAAAACAAACAGAGGAGTGAGTTTAACATCAGTTTAGTGGTGGTTGGTCTGTTGGTGGAAAAAGGAGGTCACTTTGTCAGGAGGTGGCAGCCGGAGGGAAACCAGAGAAAAGCCTGTAGAAAAGATGCACCCTTCTGTCTACCTTCCACCAGTGCTTTTTAGACAGCAAGGTAATTTTAGTAGCAATGTTCTGGTGCTGGATTGCACAAGGATCAAAGACACAAATCCCACTGGGCTTTACAAATTCTGTGTTTAAAAAGTCTGTGTCAAATTCTTTTGTCTCCTGGCACTAAGGAGATAATGTGTTAACTCTGAAACGTGAGGGTCAAGCACAGCTGCTAAAAAATGCCTTTGATTTGGTGGGGGCTTTTTTATGTAAGATGACATCTGTGTTCATTCACTTGAAGCCCTCACAGAGCTGTGCTCACTGGGCTGCGTGTTACCTGTGCTCTCACTGATGAACAGGTCAAGGGCTGGTGTTCTAGGGGAGCCTGAAGAATTTTGCCTGGACTTCTCTGCTTCTGTCCTCAACAGCACACTCCTAAAGATAATGCTCACTGAACTCTTATTGTTTTGCTCTGGGGGCAGAGGGGTGTTCATGCACAATTCCTGTGTTGCTGAAGAAAACTTCCCTGAAAGGATCTCTGATTTTAGAGCTTGGAATTCCAGCAAATGAGTTTGTTCCAACTTAAAAACACTCCCCTTCTGCTGGGCAAGGCCAGTGAGTATCAAAACAGCATCATTCGGGCTGCTTTGTTAGAAACCTGTGTCCTAAAGCAGCAAGGAACCACGAGCCTTGCAGGGCCCAAACCAGAATAGCCCAATTTATCATCCCAGACTAAAACCTCCATTGCATTGTCCTTAGCACTGCTTACCTGTGAGGAAGCCAGGCCTCTCCCACCGAGAACTCCTCCAGGAGCTTATCCCACTGCTCAAGCAGCTCAAACATGTCCGGCTGTACCAGTGGGATACTGATGCACTGTTCCCATCCGGTTGCATCTCTGTGGATGCCCTCTTCGTCATAGTGATACACCACACCTGAAAAGGGAGAGCAGCACCGTCAGGAGCTGCTGCAGAATCGGACCCACAGTCCCACCTCTTCTAAGTCATGGAACCTACTCCTGCTTTTTTCCATCTGGCTGTTCTTTCCCAGACTATTCCACAGCTTCCCATCAGTGGCTTTCTGAGGCTAGAGAATAGGAAACACAGTCCCTGCCTTTATCAAAACCTTCTCATTCTTGCAGTGTCTTTTTGGATGTCTTCTGATAATGAAAAGAAGTTCAGGACAACCAAGCTTCTTTCCTAAGCCCCCAAATTAGACCATGTTTATATGAAATAACCATCGGCAGTGAGGTTTTACAGGGTGCAGGAGAACCTGACAGGATTTTTAATGTGGCTTTTTAAAATTGGAGGGGGGTTAATTAGGGGAATTTTTAGAATTAGCAAAAACTGTGTTTAAGTCAAAGTTTCGTGTAACGGCAGAGGGCGGTAGTTTGTAAGGAACCACAAAGTACTTTTACCGTTACTGTTGGTTATTCCAACGTGGAGATCAGAGTTCCCGTCGTAGTCTCTGAAAGACAGACACTGGTGTTAGCGATAGTGGGGGCACTGCCTGGCCCTGCTGTGAACGCTGCTTCTCGGAGCAGGTGCCGCTTCTTATGCTGCCAGGGCCCAAGAATCACAGAACCATCGGATCCCAGCCTGGTTTGGGTGGAAGGGACCTT